GTTGACGAGGGACATCATGTCGGTGCGGACGATCTGGTCGGCGTCGACGAAGATGACCTTGTCGAGGGAGAGGGGGAAGAGCACGTCGAGGAAGAGGATCTTGTAGCCCCAGATCTCGCGCTGCTTCTCCTTTTGCTGACGCAGCCAGTGAGGCCACTTGAAGGTCACCATCTCGTACTTGAATCCGTATTCCTTGGCCATGTGCGGGATGAAATCCTTGAAGGAGGGGGAGAGGAACTGTTCAATGAACCAGAACTTGACAGTGTGCTTGGTGTTCTTCATGACGCTGACCATCATGATGTTGAGCATGCGCTCGTAGAGATGGCCGCTGGCGACGGAGAAGATGTTGATCTCGGCGTGCTCCTCGTCGGACGCGGACTTCTTCTTGCCCAGGATGCCTCCGGCGAACTTGAGGCCACGGCCGACGATGCTGTTGTCCTCGGGTTCGGCCAGCACGTCGGACTCTTCATGGCCTGGCTTGCGTGACAGGCGGGGGTACAGAGTCGTGCCTTGGAAATCCATCAGCACCACCTCGGTGCCCTCATCGCCCGGCACGGGAGCCCATCCCTTTGCACCTATACTATCGATGGTGTAAATATCGGTGCTCCTGCCCTCCTTGAGTTTAATATTGTAAAATCCCGGGTTCGCCTTGAATTGGAAGTATCCAAGATTGGCCATAATCAGGGTATCGGCGAAATGAGGCTCCTTCTCAGTGCCCAAAACGACCTGCGCACCGCGGGGAGGCTGCGACTGTCCACCCTCACGAGAGTGCCCCTCGATAAGGATGCTCTCGAGCTCGTAGGAGGCGTGCACGTTTGACTTGATGGAGCTGAGCTTGATGTTGTCCGGGTCGAAGGGCGAGACTTTGGGCGCAACGAGCCACGATGGTGGAACGTCCATGCCAGCATTAAGAAGAGCTTCAGAGGGCAAGCTCTTAAAGGATGCCTCAAGTGCGCGAACCTTGCCGGCTTCATCAAACGTCGGCTCTGACTCCAGCACGTATCGGAAGAATCTCTTGACAGGCAGTTCGTCAATTTTGTCCTTGGGGTTAAGGAAGAGCTTCAGATATACGCCCTCTAGCTCAGAGACAACCTTGAGGATAGGCGCCCACCGCTGTGCCTGCTCACTGGCAGGGTTGAGAACACCAACCAAATGGATGCTTGATGTCTCGGGGTTTCCGATCTCAATGGCAGTGTAGGTTGAGTTCCAAGCATCGTGGGCACTGACGCGCAACGATGGCGCAGACTCGAAAATGCCAGCAGGGAGGTCAGAGATGGTCGACAGCGCCGTGACTGACGTGATCTTGGCAGCTGCCAGGGGACCGGCGATCTTGTCTGTCAATCCAAGCTCGTCCACTGCTGCATAGACGGGGAGAATGCGGGCCTTCTGCTCAAACTCTAAGAGGAACTGGAAGTCGTCGCCTTGGAAGGGGTCTTCTTCGGTGAAAGGCCCAACGACACGGCCGTTGAGGATAAGCAGGTTGGAACCTGGCTTGATCGCGGCGAAGGAGAGAAACTCGTTGAAGACTGCGGTGAAGATTGCATCCGAATCACCAGTAGCGGCACGGAGAATGTCCTTGATATCGGAAAGAGTCTCAGCTTCAGCAAGTTTGTCGCCGCCGTTCTTCAACGCCGTGTTTACACTAGAAGCTGAGGCAGATACTGAAGGGTTGTGCACAGCGTCCAGACGCACGCCAGGGTTGTTGCGACGGAAAGCCAAAGCCGACAGAAGAAGGTTTGCTCCCTCGTCTGAGGCAAAATCTCCAACTACCGTCAGAACAGCCCAGTTTTCTTTCGTCGAGTCTGCATAAGCCTCAATCACCGGGACCTTGCTGAACAGACCGTCAAACTCGGTGTAGATTTTGTTGACATCAAGGACCTGCAGAGACTTTTCATCTTCTGGGTAAATATAGGTGTTGCGACGTTTGACGGCCTTCTCGAGGAAGAAATCCGGGATCCAGGCCTTCTCATCGACCATGCCGAGGTAAACGGCGCGCTGAATCGCCTGCAAGTCACTGGAAGCCTTCATACTCATGGCCTGAAGCCAGTTGCCCTCGCGAGGAACCGGAATACCGTTGATGAAGACAGGCGGAACGGGCGTGTTTGCGTTGAGTCTCTTTGCCCAGTTCTTGGCCAGCTTGACGATGCCATCAAGTTCGTCTGACTGCACCACCTCGGCAAAAGAAAGGATTTTCGAGTCTGGAAGAGGCTCACGGTCCTTGATGGCTTGGTCAAACGAGCCTTGGTCCGGCTTCTCAGTCTTGGAGGCCTGCATAGCAGCATCGAGATACTCAATGAAGCCATCCAAGCCGTAGTTGTCGAGGAGATAGTAGAGAATCTTGCTGATTTGGAATGCATCCTCAGTGGGCGTCAGAGGAACTAGACCGAAACGAATGGGAAGCTTCCGCTGGACGAAGGAGTTCATCTGAGCGACGACGCTGAGATCTTCCATCTTGGAGAAATCAACGGGAATGATGAGATTGAAGATATCGCGCTTTATGGGTGGGAGCTGGCCAGGGTAGACACGCTGAAGGAGCTGTTGGGAGTTAGTATTTTAATCTCAAGCAAAAGAGGGTTAGACTCACCGAAGTCAATTGGTCAGGGAAATCCTGGTATCGCTCATCCTTCTCAAGGTCGTTAAGGAACATGATGACCTGCTCTTCCTCAAGGTCATCCGTCCAGTCGAATCGCGGGGGCTCTTCGTCCGACTTGGACTCGGCAACCTTGGGGTGACCGAGAAGAGACACAGCTTGACCGCCGGTGAAACCAAGATCGCGAACGCCGTCGATAAGCTTGCGCTCACGGCGGAGAAGATCAATGATAGTGAATGCCTCAATCTGGCGCTCAATGAGCTGCACTCCGTTCATCCAAAGTACGTTCATGCCGCTTGGAACCAATTGCTGGCGATTGACTTGGTGCTCGGCGAGGAACTCAGCAGACACATTGTGGGCAGCAATGGAAGTTGAGAACTTGGGGAAGTCTTGCGACAACTTGAGAAGCGTCTCAAAGGGGTTCTGGCTCTGCATGACGAAGGAGGCAGCCTTCAGACCAAGTTCCTGTACCTCAGACTTTGATAGCGGCTTTAGATCAGCGACCTCCTCGGCAGCGTCCAAGACCTCCTCAGTCTTGACGGTCTTCTGTGCGTCGTCCTGGTGCGCTTCTCGGTCATCAATGACGATGTAGTCGGTCCTCTTCAGGGCCAACTCAACTCCGTATCCGCTGACGGGCAGAGGTTCCTCGTACTTGCCAGCCGGCTTCGTGTAACGCAGGCGGTACTCAAGCTCTCCATTACGAGCCTTCTGAGCCAGAGCGATGTGGAAAGACCCGAAAGAAGGCGAAGTTGGATCTGCGTATAAGATGGCCTCCTTACCAGATCCTAGGACTCGGTCGAAGGGCAGCACCTTTGCGCCATCCAATGCAGAATCCTTTGCAGCATCCAGGGACGGAGTGCAGTACTGTTTCCCTCCTTGCTCAGCCCAGACATCGCAGCTATCTTGAGTATCGGTATCGACTTTGGGCTCTACGGCAGTTCGGTAGTATTGATAGTGGGCTTCAATGCGAGGAGCGGCGGTTCGTAGGGAAAGGGCCAGCTTGAAAGTGGACAGGGCGTCCGGTGTAGTAATGTGCCCATCCTCATTCAGAGTGAGGAGGAACTTGTCGTAGACTTCTTTGTCAGTCTTGGCTTCGCTGAAGTGCCCACTAGCAATGCGGTCGAGGAGAGGGAAGTAGGCAGTTGCGTTTTCACCAGCAGCTGTCTCACTAGAACGAAGGTGTTAGCCGGCAGTGAAACAGAGAAGGAAAAAGGGCAGGGCAGGGCAGGTTCACTTACAGCAGCTCTAGGAGATAGGGGCCAGAAGGAAAGGCAGCCTTCATGTCCACAGTTACAGAGGGGACTGCGGCGACATTGACAGCTGCCAAAAGTGACAGGCCAACGCCCATTGGCAATTGCGACAACCGCACCATGGTGAAGGAGGGAGCGCGACGGCCGGCGCAAGGCTGTTCTTCGGAGTTGTGGGTGTTTGCAGATAGTTGTTGGCTGAGGAGATTGAGAGAAAGAGTGTCGACTTTCTTCGGGGTCGAGAATGGGTAGAAGGGATTCTCGACGACTTGTTCCTCCCAGCCGAAAAGGAGGGCAAGGGTGGGTGAATATTAAGACAGACAACTTCTGAAAGGAAATATCTTGAACTTGGAGAGGAAAAAAAACAGGGACACCGCGGAAGGTGATTTATTTATCGCCTCTGTCGCATGGCTGGTGCAAGAATGCTTGGAGGGGCTTCCAAAGGCGAATTCCGTAAGGTATGTAGGCGGGTCAAACGTCAGGTATCGCTAGGTAGATAATACTAGGAGGTGCTCGGTCTGGGGGACTGGTGTAAGTGAGCGCGCCTTCTGAACACATTGACAAAAGAGCTGTACCAAAGAAGACTAGCGTCTCCTCTGCCAGGGGTGTTAGGTCCACGGGGAGAAACGGCAGAAAAACGGGCCTATTGGAGGGGCAATTGCTTACCTCAGCTTCGCCCAGTCCAGGCCTAAGCATCTGGCAGCGTGGCACCTCATTGAAAGGGAGAATCAATGTACCCAGGTACCTGGCAAACCTTACCTAAGCGTCTAAGGTACGTATGTAAGGGACGGGCGGTGAGGACACGGTTGTCGGCGGAACTCTGATGCGGGCAGCTCCTGTCAATCGGCACCCATTAGGCTGGACCCACAGAAATAACCCACACTTTACAGATGGCCACGAAGCGGAATTGTTACTAGGGGCTCTGAGACGAGGAAGTGGCCTTTACGTATCTCTCTGCCTCACTACGGATACTTCTACGCATCCAACCCCTTCACCGCGTCCTCTTTTCGTGACCCGTGAATGTCACCATCCCCTTCCACTCCAGCTGCAGCCTTTCTCGGTCGGTAAGCTGGCTTGCACTTGAATCCCGTTTTCTCCAGAGGTGCCGCCTGATTTCCCCCCCTGCTGGTTGCCAGAAGCTCCGGCTTCACCTCCCCGCCAAAATGCAGGCCTCCTCGGGCATGTTGACCAAGGTACGCTCCGCCCTCGGCGCATTGGGTCTCTGACGAGATCCCATCTTCTTTTCGAGTCCATTGCTCACCTAGTCTACAGTTCGAGTCCAAGTCCTCCCGCGCAAAGGGCATCGCCTTCCACCCCAAGAGGTGAGCTTTCAACCCATAGCTTCCCTCGAGTCTGCCCCCTTGCTGACGAACAGCTACCAGACCATGGATCCTCGTCGCACTTCACTCCTCCACGATTCAGCTTTGGGATTACCGCATGGGAACATTGATCGATCGATTCGAAGAGCACGATGGCCCGGTTCGAGGAATTGACTTCCACAAGACACAACCCCTCTTCGTTTCTGGAGGTGACGACTACAAGATCAAGGTCTGGTCCTACCAGACTCGCCGATGCCTCTTCACCTTGAACGGCCATCTCGACTACGTTCGCACTGTCTTCTTCCATCATGAATTGCCATGGATTCTGTCGGCATCCGACGATCAGACAATCAGGATATGGAACTGGCAGAACCGGTCTCTAAGTGCGCACAATCCCTAGGATCCCGTGATGGCTGTGAAGGTAACTAACCTTGATTCGCAGTCTGCACCATGACCGGACACAACCACTACGCAATGTGCGCCCAATTCCACCCGAAGGAAGACCTCGTTGTCTCTGCCTCCCTCGACCAGTCTGTCCGAGTTTGGGACATTTCCGGCTTGCGCAAGAAGCACTCGGCCCCGACATCGATGACCTTCGAAGACCAGGTCGCGCGCGCGAACCAGAACCAGACCGACATGTTTGGTAACACCGATGCTGTTGTCAAATTTGTCCTGGAAGGCCACGACCGCGGTGTCAATTGGGTTGCGTTCCACCCGACCATGCCGCTGATTGTGTCTGCTGGCGATGACCGACTCGTCAAGCTCTGGCGCATGAGCGAAACGAAGGCCTGGGAGGTCGACACCTGCAGAGGACACTTCCAGAACGCCTCTGGCTGCTTATTCCACCCCCACCAAGACTTGATCCTGTCTGTCGGCGAGGACAAGACCATCCGCGTCTGGGACCTCAACAAGCGCACCGCGGTGCAGTCCTTCAAGCGCGAGAACGACCGATTCTGGGTCATTGCCGCCCACCCCGAGATCAATTTGTTCGCTGCTGGCCACGATAACGGTGTCATGGTCTTCAAGCTGGAGAGAGAGAGACCGGCATCGTCAGTATACCAGAACAACCTCTTCTACATCACCAAGGAGAAGCACGTCAGATCCTACGACTTCCAGAAGAGTACCGAAAGCCCGACTTTACTCTCTCTCAAGAAGCTTGGAAGCCCTTGGACCCCGCCGCGAACCTTGTCGTACAACCCGGCCGAACGCTCCGTTCTAGTCACCTCTCCCTCCGACAGCGGATCTTACGAGCTGATCAACCTTCCTCGCGATGGATCCGGTGCCATTGAGCCCACCGAGTCGAAGCGCGGCCAGGGCAACTCGGCCATCTTCGTCGCCCGCAACCGTTTCGCTGTCCTGAACACGTCTAGCCAGACAATCGACATCAAGGATCTTTCCAACAACACGACCCGTTCCTTCAAGCCTCCTGTCGGAACCAGCGACATCTACTTCGGTGGTACCGGCAACCTCCTCATCATTACGCCCACCGCTGTGCATCTTTACGACATCGGGCAGAAGAAGAGTGTCGCCGAGTTGGCTGTCAACGGTGTCAAGTACGTTGTGTGGTCGAATGATGGGCTGTACGCGGCCCTTTTGAGCAAGCACAACGTCACTATCGTGACGAAGACCCTCGAGCAGGTCAGCACATTGCACGAGACTATCCGAATCAAGAGCGCAACCTGGGATGATGCTGGTGTTCTGTTGTACTCGACCCTCAACCACATCAAGTACACGCTCCTGAATGGAGACAACGGTATTGTCCGCACCCTTGACCAGACCGTCTATCTGGTCCGTGTCAAGGGCCGTAACGTCTACTGCCTTGACAGAGCGGCCAAGCCCAAGGTTCTCCACGTCGATCCCACCGAATACCGATTCAAGTTGGCCCTCGTCAAGCGTAACTACGAGGAAATGCTCCACATCATCCAGAACTCCAGTCTTGTTGGTCAATCCATCATCTCCTACCTTCAGAAGAAGGGATACCCCGAGATTGCTCTGCAATTCGTGCAGGACCCCGCAACCCGCTTCGAGCTCGCAATCGAGTGCGGAAACCTGGACGTTGCTGTCGAGACTGCCAAGGAGCTTGATCGTCCTAAGCTTTGGCAGAGGTTGAGCGCCGAGGCCTTGGCTCACGGAAACCACCAGGTCGTTGAGATGGCTTACCAAAAGCTCAAGCAGTTCGACAAGCTTTCATTCCTGTATTTGTCCACCGGTGACCACTCTAAGCTGGCACGTATGGCCAAGATTGCCGAGCACAGAGGTGACTTTACTGCACGTTTCCAGAACGCCCTCTACCTCGGTGAGGTTGAGGACAGGATCCAGATGTTCAAGGAAATCGACCTGTGTAAGTTTGTTACAATGTAAGCATTAGTAAGATCTTGACTAACAAGACACAGACCCGTTGGCATACATGACCGCCAAGTCCCACGGCTTGGAGGAGGAGTGCCAGGCTATTCTCGAGGCCACTGGTCTCACCGAGGACCAATTGGAGACGCCTACGATTGGGGAGGCTCTGACGCCCCCTAAGCCTGTCGTCCCCACATTCAAGGCAAACTGGCCCACCAAGGCCACTTCCCAGTCTGTCTTCGAGAAGGCCCTGCTTGGCCAGGTTGAAGGACTGTCTCTGGAGGATACTCCCGCAGCTGCCAACGGCTTCGACGACGACGTCGAGGAGGATGTCGCTGCGAAGAAGAATGGCAACCTCATCGACGTCGACGATGATGAGGATGCGGCAGGCTGGGATCTGGGTGATGATGTCGTTCCCGAGATCGAGGGCGACTTCGTAAACGTTGACAGTGCGGACGCTGGTGGTGCTGGAAGCAGTGAGGCCGACCTTTGGGCTCGCAACTCTCCTCTGGCCGTGGATCATGTTGCCGGTGGCTCATTCGAGTCAGCAATGCAACTCCTCAACAGACAAGTGGGAGCAGTCAACTTTGCGCCACTGAAGCCCCGCTTCCTCGAAGTTTACCAGGCATCAAAAACGTATCTTCCAGCCTCTGCAAACCTTCCTCCGTTGGTCAACTACGTCCGACGTACGATTGAGGAGACGGACCCTCGAAAGGTGTTGCCGATCGTGCCCAGGGATCTCGAGTTCCTGGCGACCAACGATCTGCAACAGGGTTACAACTCGATGAAGACCAACAAGCTCGAGGACGGTCTTCAGATCTTCAAGGGTATCCTCCACGCCATCCTTATCAACGCCGTTTCAAGCGAAAGCGAGGTCGCCGAGGCGAAGAAGCTCATCACATCCGCCAGCGAATATGCCGTGGCCATGGAGATTGAGCTCAGCCGCCGCAAGCTCGGCACCACTGGCGAGCAGCTCAAGCGCAACCTCGAGTTGTCAGCCTACTTTACCATCCCCAAGATTGAGGTTCCTCATCGCCAGCTGGCCCTGCACAACGCGATGCAATTGGCGATAAGAAACAAGAACTACGGTTCAGCACTGAGCTTTGCCAACCGCATTATTGCCAATGGCGGCTCCAGCAAGCTGACTGAAAACGTGAGTATCAGCCTTTTATTCCAAATATTTCCAGACTGACACCTTTTGCAGGCCAAGAAAGCCAAGGCCCAATGCGAGCGTAACCCCTCAGACGCTATTGAGATCGAATTTGACCAGTTTGCCGAGTTTGATATCTGCGCAGCCAGCCACTCACCCATTTACAGCGGCACTTCCTACGAGGAGTGCGCCTTTGACGGCTCCAAGTACCACAGCAAGTACAAGGGCACCGTTTGCAAGGTCTGCGGGGTGTGCGAGGTCGGCAAGCACGGCAGTGGCCTGAAGCTCTTCGCGTAGAGAGAGCTAGCTAGTATAATAGATGTCGCCGACCCATGATGGGGTGAAGACTGCATGATTTAGTGCAGTAACCCTCGGCCGATGGGGGAATTGGTCTTGGGAAAAGTTTACAGTAGACAGACTGGAGTGTCTGATGAAAACCCCGGGCTTTTGATTGTTAGCAATAGTTTTGTGGGAGACGAATATATGTCATCATTTGATCCATGACCTCTGATGTGCTAGCGTGATTGAACGTTCGATGTCCCCGCGTGCTCAGTGCATTACCAGAGGTCGCCGTTCACCTGAAGTGCCGAGATTGGATACAAGTCACGCTATTTGGGATGCAGACTTGATCAGATCGTTAACGCCCGGCTTGGATTCCTGTATCCGAGCTTTCCTTCTTTCATGGTCTGTCTAGTCGCATGAATATTAATACATCAAAAACATACGCCCCTTTCCTCTCTGCAAACCACGTCTACACAATGGTCTCCAATTCCCTGGCGTATCCCAACGCGTTCTCTATCACCATCTGGCTCATCTCCTTCTCGGTGGTGCCGTCCTCGGCGGCGACGCCCTCGGCGGTGTCGGGGAAGAAGATGTGGCCCTCCTTCAGGATCCAACCGCGCGCCTGGGCGAAGGAGATGACGTCGCCCTCGGAGTCGAGGAAGAGGAGGGATTTTGCGGAGCTGATGGGCAGGCTTGGGTATGCGCGCTCACTGCTTGAGGCGATTTCGGAGCGGATTTGGAAGGTGAGGATCTTTTGAAGATGAGAGTGTTAGCATCAACGGTCCTTTGCTATATGCATATCTTGTGTAGATCATCACAGGGCCAAGGAGAATGAATGACTGGGGGGTATTACCTCTGAGAAGACACCGTACTCCTCGCTAGGCACCTCACGGCTCTTGAGGGCGTTCCACACGCGGTCGTAGCTGCCCTCCATCAACCACCTCTCGAGACGGATGGGGTAGCCCAGGTACTTGTCGCCCTCGACGGCGCTGCTATCGCCGCCGCCCTCGCGGTTGGCCAGGCTCTCGAGCTCCGAGTGGAATTCGGCGTAGCGGCCCTGGGTGAGCAGGAGGAGCAGGTAGAGGCCGGTGACCTTGTTGCGCTCGGGGACGTTGGGCGGGAGGACGTTGGAGGGGAGCTCGTAGAAGGGCTGGAGCTGCTGGACGTAGCGGGTGAAGGCGTCTGGGTTCTTTGCGCGGATGGAGGCGAGGGCGCCGAGCTCGTAGGTCTCGCGGGCGAGGGCGAGGAGCTGGGGGGAGGTTTTGGGGTTCGAGGGGGTGAGGGCGTTGAGCTGGAGGAGGTGGAGTTTTGCTTTGGAGAGGAGGGCGGAGGATTCGGTGTAGGGGAGGGAGGAGCCCTTGGTCTTGAGCTGGGTGAGGACCTGTTGGAGGTTGCGGTCCGCCATTTTCGGTGGTGGTTGTGTATGTGTGCTGCGGGGTGGATTGGGCTGGTGGTGTTCCGGTTGTCGGGGACTGATGTCGGCAACGGTCGTGGAACGTCGGCAGATAGTTGCTGTTATGGGAGGTCGAATGACAGGTCTGCCTTGTTGTGGTTTCGTGGAGAGGAAATGGAGAGACGTGGGTTTGCGGTGTTGTTGACCGTGTCAAAGGTTGGAGTGTCCAGATGCTAAGGTAAGGTAAGGTAGGTTCGACGCTTTGGGTGTTTGGCTCAGCAGGCTGAGAGGCTGACGAAAGGTGCCGTCAAGCTGGCCAGGTCCGTGCAGGGGTCCTGCGCGCTAACCTTCCTAAGTTTAGGCAATTTTGGAGCTGCTGGTCATCAACGGAAGCGTCAAGTGCTGTGCTGAGGTAATGCATCTGGTTCACGTGATGCAAAGTCCGACGGTATCGCCGGGCCCGGTCCCTTGTTCCGCTTCAGACTCTCCAACTTCCGGCACCCCGCCGTGCCGGGTTCCGGCAGCATCTGGGAGGGTCCTGCTTGTCTACCCGCACCTCCCATCCGGCAAGTCGGCATCGCGGACGCGTATGGCATTCGGGCAGTTGGCGGAAGCTTCTTTCTCACATGGCGAACCAGCGTACCTGGTCAGGATCTACTTCTGTGGACGAGGACGCAAGCGAAACCGAGGTCATCTGTCCAGTCTCACCGAGGCCAGGCATCTTGCGCATCGCGCGTCTAGTCTCTGATACGTGCTGCTTCTGAATACCGAGCAGCGCGACAACTCTACTCCGAACTCGCAAGCGGAAGGTATTCGCATGGATTCCGGGCTTGACTTGTCTCGGCACTCGTGGCGAACTCTCTCTGGGGCAATGACTGCACTCGCGGGACTTTGGTTCGCAACTTCTGAGTTCCGGCATGCTCATTGAAATGGGAGATCCAAGTGCCATGCTACACTCTCATGCATATCCTTAATCATCAGAAGGCGATTATCAAAGTCTTTAGGAACTGCGTTTTCTCGATTCCATTCCCGCTAAAGTAGATATCGAGCTCCTCCCAAAAACAACACGCCGAAAGGACACTCGCCCCCAGAGTAAACCCGCTACGAAATTACAATCTTCTTGATATAGCTCATCATCTCATTCTCCTCCTTATCAAATGAATCAAAGAACGGCTCGACCCGTAATAGGTTCTCAATCTCCTCCTGGTCGGGAATCTTCTGCCTCATGTAGTTGACGGGTCCATCCTCAATTGAATGCGGGATGAACACGGACGCGTTGGTGGTGATGGGCGTGCCGTCCTCCCGGATTCCCATGCCCACCGGATCGCCGTCGACGAACCACATACCCAGCACGGGATACCACGAGCTGCCCTTGGCGTCCTTGAACTCGGGCAGCACAGCAAGCTCCTGCACAACGTACCCTTCCGCGCCGTAGTCTCCCGTCGACGCGTCCTGGAGAATCTCGCCGTCCTTCTTGAGAACCACGTCGGCGCCCTCGCGCGCAAAGATGGGCTTGCGCGCAAAACTCGTCATGGACGCCGGCGCCTCGTTGTCAAAGTACGTGGGGAGAAGCCACTTGCCCCGCGGGTCGTCCTTGAACATGTCCCAGAGAACGGCAAAGACAGCCTTGTTGCTCCAGAGGAGCTTGTACGGCGGCTCGATCCAGACTGTTCCTCCGATGTAGTTCCCTTCCTCGTCGCACTTGCCAATGTTCTCCATGTCCTCGAAACACGCCTCGCCAAACTGCTGGTCGACCATGTACTCCCACGGGTAGAGCTTGAAGATGACGTCGATATGCTCCCCCTGCGCATCGTAGAACCGCCCGTCCGTTTTGGACTTTGCAATCTCCTCCATCGTCAGCGCCTTGGTCGTCCACCCGGCCTGCTGGCACGTCTCCATCAGGAGCATGGTGTTCATCGCATCCTCCCCCGTAGCCTCGCCCTCGCCGACGGCGAAGTGGACGGTTGGCTTATGTCCCAGCTCCTTCTCGACGAGCGTCATGTTGCGCTTCCACCCCTCAATGAGCTTCTCCGTGATGCTGTTGAACTGGTCATTACCGTGGCCCGTCTGCTCCATCCACAGCCACTGAATCGACGCCGCCTCGAGCAGCGACGTCGGCGTGTCGGCGTTGAACTCGTAGAATTTGGGCACGCGCAGCCGCGGGTCCGGGTGCTCGAGACCGCCGAAGCAGATGTCGAAGCGGCCGTAGATGCTGCCCCATGCCGGTTCGCGGTCCCACGAGGCCTTTATCTGTTTTAGGGCGAAGGCGGGGACGGCCATTTTCTTGGTGATGATGTCCGGGTGCTCTACGAGGTAGTCTGCTGCTTCGCAGCACATTGCGAACACGTCTCTGGCAGCTTCCTCGAGGAGGTTCATCTCCTTTTCGGTGAAGGAGTAGTAGCGGTCGTCTGGCCAGTACGGCTCTGAGGCGCCGGGGGCCACGAGGTCGGCGAAGACGAGGCCTTGGCTTTGGACCAGGCGGGTGGCATTTGGCCTCTTTTGTACTGGAACACGGCGCATCTTTGTTGTTCTTTTGGTTCAGAATGAGTTAAGAAGGAAGGCGGTGGAGTATGGGCGTTAGAAAGCCAGCAAGAGTGGGATAGAACAAGGAACTCAAAAGACAGACACGACGATGCTTGGCCGCTGCCCCAAAGGGCAGTCTCACATACTTATTCACCAGCAGGTCTGCCCTCGGGCAGTCGCCAGGCCTACTCAAGGTTCGGATGAGGCGGGGATCACCCCTAATCTACAACACCCTGAATTCTGATACGGACACCTTTCTGATTGTCCCGATCCTGCGGACACTTATTTTGAGTTGGGGTTTGATGGATGGATGGGAAATGTCTCCAGTTAAGTTTGCCGCTAGAAGAAGTCTAATTCAAACGAGGCTTTCTAGAAGCTTTGACGTCTCCTCAGGATCCTATTATGATCTACTCCCTCTCTCTTTCTTTCTGCCCCCAAAGACACGTTGCCGCTTAACCGTATTACAATAAGGGTTGCACACTAACAAGAAGATGAAACCGCAACTCACGGACACTGCGCGCTAATCTCTAGCCTTTTCTGTCTATATGCGCAATATAAGCCGTGTAAGTCGCGACACGCACGTTGGTTCGCTGTATTATTCAAACGATTCATGAGTAACGCAACCCATGTGGGCTACCGGCACCTTGGGTCGGCGAGTCAGGAAAAGCAAATTGATCTGCTCGCCTGCCGTATTTGAATAGATTTGGTGAGAATTGCTATTGATACTGCAAACCTTTTTGGTCTTGGCGTTGCGCACAACCCAGTGGCGATCTTGGTTGACAACCACGTGCCCACCTCGGCTTCACCGCGATGGCGGTTGCTTGTAGTCGTATGGCTTGCAGTTAATGGATGGAGTTATTTGACGCCCATAATCTGGTGTTGGTTGAGGGCTTCAAAAGCAAGAAGCCATTGAGTCTCTAGCAATCGAATCACCGCATGATGGCCCGGGAACACCTGCCGCAAAGTTTGGCTCTCGCATTTTCAACATTTTCATTACCTACTCTGTTTGTCAAACCGAAGATTTCTGAGCAATTGAGTTTATTGGCAGTTTTGAGCCAATCACATTGACCTCTTCGGAAATGCGTTTCGCGATACTTGA